CAGAGCGTTCGACTTTCCTTTTCACAATTTTACCGCGGATGAGACTAAGCTACCTGAAATGATGGTTTAACTAGGGCTGCTTCTTAGTTTATATGGCGATGAGTAGATAATCTCTATTGAGAGGTGTCGACCACGTAAGTCTCTTGAGGTGTCTTTTGCCGATCCTTTCAAGTAAATTTGGCATGAGATTTATTGAAATTCGCTTTATATATAGTTTTTGGTTAAATATTTCAATATACGGGAGGTAGGCCCCACTTTGCATATTATTTCACACACAATAACACGCATATATATGTATATGCCAAGCCTAGCGATTTCAAATTCGTTTTTTACCTATTTTTGTTACTAAGCTTGTGAGCTTGCTTTACTATCAATATTTAGATTCCAATTTCGTCAATTTTGTGAATTAAATTCTACCTGTCTCTAACATAACCGCAACAAATAAATCAATTTTTATAAGATTAGTAAACTCTGGCAATTTTCCTGATTAGGTCGAACAGTAATCTGCCAATTCTGGACTAAAATGTTGGAAATATTAATGTATATTCAAGAGTTACTCTTTTTAATTAGTTATCATAGTTTTGATCTAATAGAGCAATTTAAGAATAAAATTGCGTCTCATTAGACGTTATTTTAGCTCATTTAGTTATATTGCAGTCTCAACTAAGCAATATTCAATATATCGTTTGGAGCATGAGGACTTCTCCAATTGATTAGCTTCAATTGGCAGAATCCTGTTCGACCTAATCAGGAAAATAGCCAGAGCTTACTGATCTTATGAAAAAATGATTAATTTATTGCGGTTATGTTAGAGACAGGTCGAATTTAATTCACAAAATTGACGAAATTGGAATCTAAATATTGATCGTAAAGTAAGCTCACAAGCTTAGTAACATAAATGGGTAAAAAACGAATTTGAAATATATATATATACAATTACACTAGTTCGTTTAGGTGATGAAGGACTGGTAGTTGAAAAATTCAACAATTTTGTGAGTAGGCCTCACACTTCCAATGAATCTCACATAGTCTCGTTTCCCAAACGATATTTTAATTCAAGCTGAAGTGGACTGCAGTTTCAACATAGCCTAGGTCTTATCAACACCCCAAGCGAGACTCAAATCGACTAATAAAGAAAAAAATAATTTTGTCGATTGCTGTGGTGCATACGACTTTGCTTCATCGATAATTCCACCACAAAATGTGATATGGGAAAAGGGCTGGCCTTCCTTAAAATTCGCATCTGCTCCGTGACCCAAGGGCACTCGTGGCAATGAAGCATAATGGCTAGCGTGTCGAGATTATACGCTTTATTACAACAACCAAGGTTCGAGTCCCGCTTGAGGTATTGATAAGATGAAGTCTAGCCTACCGTCGACTTCTGACTGTATGAGAATACATTTTGGGGAGCAAGACTATGTGAAATTCACAGGAAACGGAAGGCAAACATATATATGAACAACTGGTAATTTCGAAAACCTACTTGTAAACAATAAATAAGTATATAATAATATTTAGAAAAAAAGGTTCCTAACCCAATTGTGACTAGAGTAGTATTTGGACGTAAAAAGTCATATACATAAGTAATTAACGGGAGACAGTGGTATTATATTAAGGCTAGCAGCCAGATGGCTAAAAATATGAGGAGCTGGATATATTTTTGGGAAGATTTCCAATCTACTAATGTAAGCTTCTCTCTCTCCCTCACAGATGGGGGTTTAGAAAGATCTACATTCAAATCGTTTACTCTCTTTTATACAATTTAGGTATGTTGAACACGAGATTTCCTATTATGCTGTCACATTTATGCCCGATCAGATAGAAGGCTTTGGAATTTCTTTTCCTAACGAGAATATTGAATAAATATTACTGAGATAGTCTTTTAAAATTGTATGTTCATTAAAATAACGATCTTAGATTGAGGCTTAAAACAATATATTGGAAACTGACCATTTTATTGGAAAGGATAATGCGTTAAAGATGCCCTAGTGTTAACATAAGACTTTTACATGAATGAGACCCAGCTCTGATGATGTCCGTCAGATGATGGACGAAAGCTCAGCCCGTTTTTACCTAAAACGAGGGAGGAGGTCTGGTGGACTGCGTCAACCTGAACGGCTGCAGTACAACGGGATTCATCCGTCCTCTTCTGTTGAGATCGACCTACGAATCTCTTTTTCATGCACTTTCATACGAAATGAAGGTCCCCCTAACCAGGATAATAGCTTCATGAACTCAATGACGAATTAATAAGACTAAAGGACTAGTAGAAACTATAGAAAGTGTAATTCGGGCTCTCACCTTAGGTAGATGTACAACTCCGGGGGCCAGATTTCCCTTCTGATCAAGAATATCTGTCGCATATTGTAAGCTGGCCAGAAGCCAAGCGACCAGTGCCACTCCAGCAAGACATAGAAGGATTACAGGAGCAGATATGCAGGCCAGAGTGACGCGGCGCCGCCACGATGGATATTGGCGAACGATGCGTGCGGTTATAGGACAAGGAGCTAGGTGGCCCTAAAAAAAGTAGTGGAAAATATCGGTCATTATTTCAAATGCCTGGTAGAAGTCCTCATATTCATATTTAAGCTCAAATACCTTTTTAATGTATGAATGTTACTCGGACCAAACGAGATGTTTCGTAGGAGCACTCTTAGTCAAACAATTCTTCCAATTCTCAAATAATATATGTAATTTAACCCTCACGAATGAGTGGTTAGTCTTAAGCATAATTGTGTGTAGCGATAAAAAATATCATAAGTTAAATATAAAGACAAACTAG